ATCAACATTTGGTCTCTTATGCAACCTGTCTAGGATACATTTAGGGAAGATTGTTTTGTTTTGTTTTGCTGCATTTTTAATGAGGTTAATAGTTGTCTATGGCCTATAAATAATAGACCATGGAAGCAGCACAATTAGGAACTAAACAGCCAATAAAGTACTCAAACACGTTTACTAAAAATGTAAGACTGCAAAATCTCAACCAAATGCAAACAACATGATTGTCGGGGGCGCTTGTGAGCCAGTCGGATGGATTACACTGCCTTAAGGAAGTCTGGACATTTTTCCCAAACCAAGTTTGTCTTCTTCTAAGTTATCATTGTACAAGGTGTACTGACTTTGAGGCATCAATTAATATAAATTGGAAGCAGGTAAAGTATTAATTAAACATGACACTCTGATTATTTAAACCTTCTATTAAAGTTGATTATTCAGAGCATGTTGATAACCTGTTCTTGAAAAATGACTGATGATAGCAAGCTCTACTGACTTGCTCTGAGTTTACTATTTCCACCTCTTCAGAACAGAAGGGATAAATGGAGTGAGAAGAACACAAGAACAAGTCTAATAGACAAACTGACTAATGTCAGACCCCAAGGTCAAAGCAAAGCAATTCATTTCTTAGCTTTCATCAACACCAGACATGATTTATCAATCCAGGAATAGGATTGCAAACATTATACATCTCAGTGATATGTTCACTGCACTGTGTAACTTTTTGAACAATGACAGATTATTCCCTGCAATCTGCAAAAATAATGACATAAGGCAAAACTCATTAAATGTGTGAAAACACTTTGATTTTTATGTACAGATTATTAGCCACTATTATTTTGCATGTCATTTAGGGGACAATAGCAACTCAAAACTCAGGTATTCCCTCAGAATTTTATGACCTTCATGATTGAAAATGTAAACATGCTTGTCCCTCAAAATACCATCCTTGTTCTTACAGATTCATTCATGGAGTCAGCCACCATGCAGCAAGTATTAAAAGCAGAATCTTTATATATATATTACAATGGAAATGATTATATTTGAAAGATTCCTACTTTAATAAACCCAAAGCTACTCTTAAAGAGGAAATCATTATGCAAAAAGTATGGAAAAATACCTCAACATGATGAATGTAATTACATAAACAGAGATTTTGTTCAAAGTTTCTTTCACACTCATTACAACACTTAAGGAAATATTCTATAAGGCATGTCTATGGAAGCAACTCTGAAATTATTTAATAGATTAATATGAGGTAACTAGATTTCTCAAATAAAATTACACACAAAGTACAGTCAATTACTTTGCATTTTGAAACTTCACATTCTGCATATTTTATGGCAGCACACTGCTATTTTCAATGAGCCAAAATTAATTATCATCTTTCCCATTATATCACAATTTCAAGAAACTTTTATTGCTTAAGTGGAGGAGGATAGTAAAAGGTATTGTAGCTTTGACCGATGAGTCATTTCACCAACTGCCAAAAAGCTGTGTGTTGTGGTACACCTGGACACACATATCTTGGCAATCGGGAAATGCATTCATCTTGGCATGTCGCAAAGGGGTGCGATCCTAATTACCCTCTCTTGTAACTGAAAGTATTTTGGAACTGTGTCTTCCTTCAAAACAATACAAATTATACATCTGGACTTGATCCATGTAATTGGACCATCTGTTCTCAGTATTCACTCCTAAGTACTTCCCAAAGAATTATCTTAGTTGAAGAACTAAACTGGTTATGAACATTACCAGGAAATGTCACTTAAAAAAGGGAAAGCCAGCATTGCGTAAAACCCTGATTTATTTTGGTTGATAAGTATATAATACAATGCTAGCCCTAAAAAGAATATTTTGTGGGCCTCTCCTATTTTACTTTTGAGAAAGTAAATGTCTCAACTGAGTTTCACACAGAAATCTCTGTGTAATAATTGACTATCTGGATATCCAGTGTGAGAGAACAAAATGCTTTTAAAAGTTTCTTCAAAATTTAGAGTGCATGTGTTTTAATTACTTTCCTGGTAGCTGAGACACGATCCCTGCCATTCACATCATAAAGGAAGAGTTTATTTTGGCTCAGTTTCTGAAGTTGCAGTCCATGGCTGTTACGTTCAAATACAGAAGCAGCCTGCTGGAAGGGCCTGGTGTGGAGGATTACTTCCCAAATCACAGTGGTCAGGAGGCAGAGACAGCTAAGGCTGGAATCTGGTGGGAGATAGTCCCTTCCAGGTTATGCTCTACGAGACTTGCCTCTCACCAGGCCTCTCACCAGGCCTCACAATCCAATCACCCCTCAAAGCACACTTCTGAATGCACGAGTCCTTGGGGGTCTGGGGGGAAATCTCTACCTAAACCATAACGGTAAGTTTCAATGACATGCAATGATTTTTCTTATTTCTTTCAAAAGCACTGAAACCTACAATATATATATTGAAACCTACAAAACACTATTATGTAAATAACAGTTTACCTTGCTCTAAAACAAAGAACTAACAGAAGCACTAATACCAGTCTCCAAACACTTATGTAAAGATTAAGAAGTGACAGCCAGTAGTCTAAGTACTTTATACATACTAAACTCATTGACACCCTCCTATGAGATACATGCTGTCATTTTTGGTTTAAGAAAATTTCTTCTTTGGCATAGAGAAACAAGCAAAACAACCACACTGAATCACTGTTTCTTCGTATTGGCATATACACTGAATCATAGACATTATTAGTTTGTGAAACTAAGAAATGAAATTAAATTAAGGAAGAGAGGCAGGAGCAAGAGAATCTCTGACTAATAAGCCATTCTGGTGAAATATATCAGAAATTCACGTTGGTGTAACCATGGCAATGTTTAAAGATACACTAAATATATATCACATTAATGTATATATGCCAAATAAAAACAGGTTTAAACTTAAATAACATTAAAAGAGAGGAAAGATATAAGCTAAGAATTATACATATACCACCGACATATCATATAATAAATATTATGTAATGGGTCTGTCTACAAACCTACAATTGCCTTTTTTTTCTTTGAGAAATATTCCCTTACATGTGAGTTTAGAAATTGGTCTCTTTAAAATGTTTTCAGATTCAGAAGTCACAGTCATAAACCATAGTTATTTCTTTCCCATAATGGAAATTCAATAAATGTTTTATATAAAACCTAATAAGAGCTGCTTTTTCTCTGCATTGTCACTTAGGTACTAATTAATCTCAAAAACTAACAAGACAGGGCAACCTATTTATCTTACAAATGGGTTTTCAGTCATAAGGTATCTCATCATTTCCAAGTAATATTAGACCTAGTTCCTGGTAAATATGTGTTCTCTGCCTCCGATTCCAGTTATAAATATGACAATAGTGTTACTACTTGGTCATATTTCTTAATAGAATAGCTTTCTCCATGTTGAAATTACATATTGATTTGCATAGCAGTTGAGTCAGATACTATGAAACATCATTTTAGCATCCATTGCTGGCTTGCATGTTCTATACTCTGACATCCCTCATATACTCAGCCAGATCTAATCAGTTTCTTATCTCCCAATACACGTGGTGCCAGAACTTCTTAGTCTATCTTAATTCAAGCTGTCAACCGATAGGCATGTGCTCTGATTGTGCAGGCCATTTCATACTGGCTCGCCTTTTACCAGGGGTTCCTCTTCCTGGAAGTCAAGTCTCTCTCTCTCTCTCTCTCTCTCTCTCTCTCTCTCTCTCTCTCTCTCTCTCTCTTTCTCTCTCTTTCCTCCCTCCTCTCTCTCTTCTTCTTCTCTCTCTCTCTCTTCCTCCCCTCTCCTCTCTCTCTCTCTCTCTCTCTCTCTCTCTCTCTCTCTCTCTCTCTCTGTCTCTGTTGATATTTATTTGGAGAACACTTACTAACTTAGCCTTTTAGGAATCTATATAAGGAATATCTGCCTGGATAAAGTCTTTCCTTCTTCCTTTTTTGCCCAAATGACTCAATAATCAACTGTGGTATCAATCAAATTCTCAACAGAAATTTGTTTATCCATTTCAGTCATCGAATAGACAATAAATCAATCAAGTACTTGAAGACACACCCACTTATGTACAATATGCCTATCAAAATGGTTGGAACATAGCAGATGTTGAATAAAAGTGAGGTGAATTAAATAACTTTATATTTTACATTATTTTAAGTTTTTCCCCTTTAGGCTACACAGTTTTGTGTCATTTCCTGACAAAGAGAAATGTTATAAACAAATCATAACACATAGTAACAAAAATTTTTTAAATCATTTTTCCTAAACTGTTTTAGAAACATTATATATATAAAACACTACACACACACACACACACACACACATATATATATATAAAACTATCAAATCATTTAATCATCATACTGTTATCTAGAAAGAATATGTAAAAATAAGACTCAGTGGTAGGGTACTTTTCAGGCATATATGAGACTCTGAATTCAATTAGTCATACAGAAAAAAAGAAAGGAAGAAAGAAATAGAAAGGGAAGGAAAGAAGAAACAAAGGAAATACAAAAATTATCATCATTCAGCTGCCCAAATTTACAAGCTTCTCTAAAATTCTGTAGTTATTTTTCTAACTAATGTTCTATTAATTATATTTTTCTCTTTAATTGCACAATATGAAAAAGTAATTATATTATATTATTAGAAATAGTCAAGTATTTGAGTTCAGGCTGCACTTGTGAGTAGCTCAGAGTCCATGTCAAGTAACAGGTTCCTGTGAATTAGGATGCTTAAAATATGAATTTATTCTTTACTGTTTTCTGATGAAAAGGCAATTTAGCCTGAAGTATAGAATATATAGCTAAGTATTTACATATCATTTACCCAAGAAATTGAGTGAATTTCATCTATGTGAAACTATAACAACAATGATGAGAACAATATGAGACAGTAAAGTTTAGTGACACTCATGGAATTCCTTCTCCACATCTACCTTTTCAGCTACATAATCTTATACTTTACTCCTAATAAAGATTCAGAGTAAATGAGACCACTTACTTTTCAGGGTTTTCTACTTCTTCTGTAACAAAGTTGAGGTAAAACCTAAAAGCATATACATAGTTACTAGATATTAATATATTTTATCACTACATTTCAAAGTCTTACATTTTAAATATTTAATAATGAAGTCAAATTATGAAAACTTCAGAAATATACTTATTACAAGATGAAGAAACTCTCATGTGTCATTTTTCCATTAAACCATATTTGTGCTTATGATGTGGCACTAGGTGTCTAAGTGGGATGAACCCCACAGTCTCTCTGCACACGAGGAGCCCAGAGTTCATGGGAAGCAGCGATGGCGGAGGCATGTGGGAAAAACAGTAGAGCTAGCCCAGCCGCGCCAGGAGTGAGGGGGATTGCTAGAAGCATCATTTCCCAGTTTAAGCTTCCAAGAACACATAACATTTAGCTCTAGTGAGGTCATTCCAGGCCAAGTACAGACCATCGTCACAGAAACCTGGCAGGGATGTATGCACAGGGCAGCATTCTACCTTACGGTGGTGAGGAACAGGAAGCAGAAGAATATTAAGAATAAGAGGATGTTTGCCTCTTATGAGTCCAAACTACAGGAGTGGAGACAAGCAAACCAAAGCTCAGAGGAATATGTACATGAGACAGCAGCATTTCTCTAAGGAACTGTTGTTGGTTTGCCACAGTGAACAGTAGGAAAAATTAGTGGTATAAATAACAATGAACATTTGAAATTCACTAAAAGAATACATTCAAAATGTCCTGCAAATCAGTAAATATTTGAAGTAATGGATACATTAATTAGTTTGATTTCATTATTCTATATCCATAAGTCATAGCATCACTTTGCACCCTATCAATGTATACAACAATAATTTTTGAATTTAAAAAATTTAAAAATGAAAAGATAGTAAACCTTCAATTCACACTTCTTCCTTTAGATCATTGTTTTCTAATGTGTATCCCAAAGGACCTCAAATCAAGATTAGGAAATTCCCATTTCTCAGTTTTGTATATTTAGGCAGTTAATCTTAGACATGATACCTGTCATTACATTTAAATCAACAACTAAAGCACAAGAAAATGTGAACTCTCAAGCCCACCACATTTGGGGGAAAATTATGTGACAAGAAGTATTCTATTAATGAAATAGTTTATTCTCAAGTTCCATATGATTGCAATACCCTAGTGTCAGGGGCTAGAGAAATCTAGATGTTTCCAACATTTTGCGCCTCTCCAGTCCCACCCAGGCATGCCTGGGGCTTTGAATCTTTACTTTGTTTGCCAATTTATCAGGAAGGTTGGAGACCCTTTATGACTCTCACAGATCTTTCCTAAGTTTCTACAATGTAAACTTGAGGCAAATTCCACCCTCAAATAAGCATACATTGAAAACTGAATTATGAAAATGAAGAAACTCAGGGATCATGACAAGAAGCATAAAATATTTAAAGACAAAGAACTTGCTACTTCTGCATTTCACGGACTTAAATTTTTGCAAAGTAAAAAGGCTGTATTTCAAAGTAGTCTTCAATTATTACTCCTTAGAAAGTTAAAAATAGATTTTCCCGTGGGTGCACAGGTCTGTACATACAAATTCTCTACAATCTAAAATCAAATATGGTGGAATATTAGGCCATCAGCCTATAATATGCTTAAAAGCACCTCCTAGCCTAAAAGAAAGATGAGGAAACCTATCTTGCTTCATCTTCATGAAAACTATCTAGTTTCATAAACAGATATTTGATATTTAAGGTTAAGTTAGCTACAATTTTAAGGTCTACCTTTTAAGTGAGTACATGGGAGAATGGTCAAAATAAAAATAATATGAAAAGTAAGTAGCCAGTGATGTTTTAAACTGATTCAAAAGTTAAGTTTCTGAAGATATGGGTTATAACATTTCACTAGGAAAACAATCAACAGTCAGTACTTGCAGCTGAAATATGCCTGTGAGACAGTTGATGTGTTCTATACGTGCCTCAAAAATCATACGTATCAGGAAATATGTCTAGGCTTCTCATTCAAAGACAGCTCTTCTTCACAGTTGTTTTAAAGATTGATCTTTTTTAATAATATCAAAGCAAGGAGGAAAATATTTATGAAAAAGGTGCATAACTTCAAATGTTTTCCATGGCACCAAAGAATAGTGGAATGGAAAGGGCTCCAGGCAAGGTGGGGGATAGGAAGGAGAAAACTCCTTATTTTAGTTCAAACGTGCACACCCTGTGGAAAGTACATCTTTAAGCCCAGCTAGTCTCCAGCACTGAGTCCAGGCTTTCTCTTTGCTTTACACCTCCTCCGGGCCCCTGGAGAATGTTCACAAATGCACTGCTCTAGCTCTTCCATGATGATGCATAAAAGGCACAGCTATGCTAGCAGTGTATTCCAATATGCAACATATGAATTCTTCCAAAAAGAAGCTTATTCTTTAGATTAAATTTGACCCAATGGTACAAAATAATCCCACAGGTGCTTTCAAAAGACTGAATCCATTGAAGGCAAGAGTTTAAAAGGAAAAAAAAAAAAAAAAAAGACACTGTCACATAGTTTTTTTTTAGTTTCTTTTTTTAAGTCCCACCAAGCAATGTTCAGTGTTGGATCAGGATACAGGACTGAAATTGGATGACCTCCCTCGGCTCACCAGGGAACTGGCAGATGTATTTCTCTAAATACAGACAATGATAAAATATTATAGTGGTTCTGACCCAGCTGTGTGAGCTGGCTGGGTTAATTATTTCTTTCCCCTTAGTCATGTTTCTATGAAAGAGTCTTCATCATATTGCCAGGGTTCTGTGCTCCCCCAAAGCCAAAGTTTATTCAGTTTCTCCAAGGTTCAGTGGAAACTTTTTTTTAATTCAACTGCAAGGACGTGAATTACTCACAGAGCAGAGGCTCTTGGACAGCAGTGGTCTTGCTGCTTTTCTGAGCAAGCTCAGTGCTAGCCAGTCAGTCTGATGACAATGGCTGCTTTGTTTCTGTGTTTCTCATTTGCAATGACCTAACTTGCCTGTTTGCCTTTGTGTATATGTGTGTGTATGTGTGCATGTGTGTGTATGTGTGTATGTATGTGTGTGTGTGTATGTGACATCATTGTCCTGGTAGCAGTGTAGGGACCAATGATTCCACTACAGATCTCCATTCATAATTGTACAGCCCAGTCTTATAATTGTATCCTGAAAGATGGAGCAATCCAATACACGGGGTCACATTTGGAAAGTAAACAAATGCCCCTCTGTTGGGGAAATCTCTTTTCTTCCACCTTGAACTATTTACATCCAGATAACTTCTCTGGAACTTCAAACCAACAGACTATTTTTCTCTAAATCCAGTTTCTAAATCCTTTTTTCTAAGACTGATGGTCATAGATAAATAACAGACGATTTCCACCTCTTCACAAAGCATTCAGGTTGTATAACAACCACTTAAGAAACAGTTACTTATCTGTCCCCTATGCTAACCACTTGTATCAGATAACATCCCTTTTAAAATCCTGGACTTATTTTCCAATACTGTGATGAAACCCTCAAAAATACAAGGATATCAATGGTTTATGGATATAAGATGGAGACTAAATATGAGGATTATGTGGGTGAAAGTAGAAATAAAGCATGCACACCCCTTTTACCCTGTTAACAGAGTAACATTTTGGATTTAGCACCAATAAAATTCAATATTAATAAGATAATTAAAACTGAAAAGTCTTTATACATGGAGAAATCTGTCAGCTCTCCCAAGCCTCAGAAGTGGAGAAAATTGGCTCTACATCAAGCAGATGACCTGAATATTCAGTGCAGATTTCAGCAAAGAGGAGGGCAGAAATATTTTAAGATTCCGTGGGAACAGATGCATGGTACTCACAGGCAAAGGAAACTTCATTCAACAGAATTAATCAAATCTCCCTTGTGAGGATCTTCACATTCCACATTCCTGATTGAGCACAGAGAGGCTCCCAGAGCCTGACTGTAACTGAAAGCTTTCTCTACTCCCTTCTTTGCTGTGGTGGCTCCCAGCGACCCTCGCAGTAGCTTGGCTGCTGCCCCAGGGCTAGAGCTGTGATCCGGGCTGAATAGCCACAGAAGAGTTGATTCTGCTTCTCACCCTGTGATCACACTCAGTTCTTTTTCTCTGCCCAGCACCACATTGTGCTTTGGACAAAAGTAAAAAGACTTCAAAAGCATTGCGTGATTGAAAACTAATGCTTACACACAATGGCTGTAAAAATATTTGGGGAATACACAAATATTGCATCCTGATCTCCTTGGAGCGAAAATCTTCTAACAACCTTCAAACATATTTTGCTTCAAAGCCATGCTAAAATGTTAACTTGCTGTACTCTTAATTCTCCTCTAATGCAATGCTTTCATAATTCAGTGATATTAACAGGATACCACTCTATTTACTTTTGAAATATATCTTTAGAGGCCCTGCAGAAGCCTCTAAGTGCATTACCTGAAGGTGAGATTTTAACAACTAAAGGAAATTAAATTTGTATTAGAAAGGCATTTACATACAGCTCAAACTAGTGAAGTTTCCCATTATTATTTTTTGGCTCATAGAACATTCTACAGCTAAAGCCATATTAGTTTTATAAATACATTTTTAAAATTGTCAATGAAAGTTAATCTTGTTATAATGACTTTGATGTTTATGTACTACTTTGGACATAGTGGACTTTCTTGAAATATTTATCTCAACTAAAACATACTAGTTCAATAAAGTTAAGTTAGGAAAAGTTCTATTCTCCTACAAGACGACTGTTATTGAAGCTACTGAGCAGTGCAGGTCTTCAGTGTAAAAATCTGATGTCTGTCTGTTGGTATCACAGACAGACATTCTTCACAGGAAATATGCCCCCATTTTGATCTTTGTGGCATATTTCAGGGAAATTTTAAAAACTTTTAAAATCTTACACATGGCCTGGTACAATTAGTTTTATTATCTTTTTTTCCTTATTTCCTGTATTTAGAGCAGTATTTTAACCTGCTGTGAACACTTTATTTTTTTCTAAGTTACTTATTTCTCATGGGAAGTAGAAAAAAAATCACTCTCTAAAATATCCTTGAAGCTTCACTGAGAGAACTTTTGACAAGCTAAGGACTAATTTCTAGGATGAAATGACACTATTTTGTCCTTACTGTTACATAATCACATATATATATATATATATATATATATATATATATATATATGTAAGCTACTTTCCAATTCTGGAGTTATAGTGTTAAGTATGCACCACCATGCCCCAGTCAAGCATTTGTTTTTATGATACTAAGCTCAATCTAGCACTTGTCTTCATTGAGCTGGACTCAGAAAATGGGATCCCAAACTCCGGTGTCTTGGCATACTAAGTACTTTGAATTAATGGAAATTAAGGGGCTCGGAAGCAAGATCTATCTCAAATTTTTCTGCCTTTATTTCTCAAGTTCTTCTCTCCTGTTGTCCAAAGGAAGCCATTAAAAAATTTTCTTCTTCCCAAAAGTTCATAGAAACTGCCTTTTGTTATAAGAGTGTCTGCTCTGACTCTTAGCACAGATGAGGAAAAATATCACACCTTTCTAAAGTTATAATATTAGATTTGCAATAGCCTGGTAGAGGGGGCTACCCCATATTTCTCATTTGAATTACTGCATATTACTCTGGATTGTACCTACTCACATGTCCCTAGCACCTTGATTTATACTGAAGCAAAATATTTCAAAAGAACTAATAAATCATTCAAACCACCAGATCTAGACATAACTTACCAGCCAGCATATGCATACATTCCATAATAAAAGGCCAATGGCAACCCCATAATACTAGCATCTCTTCCGGAAAAGGCATCTTTAAAATGCTGTGTTTGCCCTGCAATTAGAATGCAAAAAGCTTAGAGCTTTCCTACAGAACTGGTTATTATTCATTCTAACCATAAACATAGGAATGAAGGAAACGAACCAGTACTGCCTTAGGTCTGTATTCTTACTGTCTGCTCACTAGCAGCTTCATAGAGTAATCCTGTACCCATTCTAGAGAAAAAGTTCCAAAAGTATACTGATCACTGGGCATTTTATTTCACAGTTCTGTTTTAATAAAGTTATACCTAGGATGAAAATAGCATTTTAAAAAGCAGTCCCTCATTGGAGCATGACTCTACTTTGACCACGAAAGAAGTTGTCATTTACAGATAAAATCAAGTTGACTCTGTCCTGGGGAGGGCACAGTTTTCTTCTTGGAACACTAAAGAGAAATTACACTGAATTCTAAACTAAGTTTTAATAAAACTTGCATAAAATGTGGATTGAGAATTTTGTTCATGTTACTTTTTCTTTATTTTGTGGATGGCAGTGGATCTTCTGTGTATATCTTTTGGATAGTTTAGACAGCAATTAGATCAACTCAGCCAATACTCAGATTGCCTCAGAAAAAAGGTCTCTATGTCCCAAAGAAAACAGCAAGTGAGATTACTCAAATCAAAAATGACTTGTTGTATAATTGGTCAACAAAAGAAGGGCAGGAGGTCGCTGGTGAACATGGTAGACACTGTCTTCCAAGTCTGATCTCAGCTGCTGCGTGCAGTATTTGCAGTGTGCACAGGAGCCCAAAACTGGACAATGTTGAGTTTTTCCTTCAAAGTAACTAATCTTCAAATACATATAGTTCATTTTTTTAAATGATACAATGAATTAGAAATGCAATCTCTTTGTTCTTATACAAGGAAAACATAAATACTAGTTCTCAAATAAAACCATCTCTTGAGTATCATTTTATCAAGATTCATGGCCAAAGGACTATTATTCCTTAGGGAGAAGCACTAAATAATCAATCGGGGATAAGAAAAAAATCTTTGTAAAGACTGAGTCATAAGCACGGATCTTCAAAAATGCCACTCTGTGAGTAATACAAAAGAGAAGCACTTTGTATCTAAACTTCAAGAATATTTTGGCTGTATAACAAAGGTCTCAGGAAGATGAAAGTCTAACATTCAAAGGAAAGTTCAACACATATTTATAAGTGAATGCACAACATTATCAGGATCTGATTAGAGTAAAAATAGATGTGCAATATAGATTAGTGAAGTCTTTCTCTTCCTGGCATCTCAGATTAAGACAAAAAATACATGGTCATATTGTAAGGAAAAGTATAGCTTCATCTCATTTTTATTAGAAAGGAAGAAAACTACTAACAATGCTCTCCAAAATATTAAAATTTACTTTATATGTGCCAGAATGTTAAGGGAACTTCTCTGTTAGGTGAGATCTGAGAAGGAGCCTGGTTACACTAAGCACTGATCTCGTAAGTATTAATTAAAGGTCACTCCACTGTAACCTCCCAAGGATCCAACACCTGTATCAAATCAAAATCTTTCATTTTAAGAAACTTAAAATACAGTACTTATCATTTGGGCAAACAAACTCACCTCATACACATATATTAAATCATCATGATCTGAATTTAGTAAGGATTCCAATGCAACCAACAATGTCTGACATTGTATCAAAATTAAAAATAAAATTTTATCTTAGTTTCAGGAGATAGTATATCAGTTTTTTGGAATCTAAACTGAGACTTAAGAACAGTCAGTGACCCAGAGGTTCTACATGTTCCAAATACTGAAGACCTTGACAGAAGACTAAAGACTTAGCCCTTAAAAAGGAAGTACTAACAGAATAGATGATTCTTCATACATTTCTCGTGAATAAAATAGAAGATAAGCACGCCAGCTCTGCGGAGGGCAAGGTGAATTAGAAGGGCAAACTCAAACCTTCCTTTCAGTGCAAGCCTAATGTTCGAGATCTTCATTGTGTTTATTCCAACTTGGCTGAGGTTGCTGGACTTGATGAAAGCATTTTGCCAGCAGGCTGTGAGATCTCCCACTAGGCTTATTAAATGGACAACAGCATCTCCTTTTCCCAGCTACAGAGCGACCGATCTTTCAGTGTTTGTTATATTGTTTAGTGCCTCTACCAACAGCGATGATTTTGCTGAACTTTGGCATTTTCTTTGCCTTGTTGTAATTCGTTTCTTGCAATGTCATTAAATTTCTCTATAAATTCCCTGTCTTCCAACAGACAAAATCAATGTAAACATTAAATACTTAACATGCCCAAGTTATAAGTCACTTTACACTTCTTTCTTTCCTATTATTTCCTATTATTATATACTGGCATGCCCATTGGCAATTAAATAGATCATGTAGACCTCCTCCAACCTTTTCCATGGAATGGAAGCAAATGCAGGCACATATTTCCTAAAACATCTAGAAGTCTAAATGTCTCTGCATCTCAACTTCTTTTGTTATAAAACAGTAAGTGCTGCAAGGCAAATAATTCAGGAAAATGATTCATTTTGATAGAAATGCAAATTTTTTTTTGGTACCAGGGATTAAACTCGTGACCTTGTGCTTGCCAGGCAGGCGCTTACACCGCTAAGCTAAATCCCCAGCCCCCAGAAATGCAAATTTTACATTGAAAATAACGTAACAATCAAAGTTAAGAGATTTTGGAGCTATTTTTATAAAAAATAAATATTTGTTTTTTTCCAGGAATGTTACTCCCCTATCTTACTACTCTTTTGAAGATACTACTCTCAAGATAAAAGAAATGATAACCAAAAAGTAATAGCATTATCAACCATCTTTATTTTCCAAATATCTTTTTTCTTTTTAAACTTGATTAATCCTATTGAAAAATGTTAAAGTAAAAATAAAAGAACATATTTATCTGTACTGAAAGACTTTTTTAAAAATAGTCTTTTTTTTTCCACTTTTAGTTTTCACTCCAAGCAATTTATATCAAGAGAATTTACTGATGCCTTATTTTGTTGGTTGACCCAGTCTTAATCCTCTTGCTGCCTCTCAACTGTAAATACCAACTCACCCTCCATGTAGCAGCTTTCAAATCAATTAGATGACAGTATGGAGGTTAAGTTCCACAAGCAGGGACTAATTAAGGATTCTGCTGGTACCAGCAAAAGTCAGTGTTAGGAGAGACCAAAAGCAGATACGTATTTTAGAAAGCATTTACTTTTCAGTCCATACCTTTAATTAGTTGTATAACTCCAGGGACTATAATTATCAGAATTGCTGTGAGCTTGCAAAAGGTTAAGAAAATCTGAATCCGGGCGCTCCAGCTGACACTCATGCTATTTAGGACCATCACTAGAGCTGCAAACAAACAGATGAAGTTATAAAAGGCAAACCCTCATGGGCACAAAGACATCTTAGGTTCTTGTTACTCAAAGTGTAATGTAAAAACCAGCAGTGTTGGCACTGCCCGTAAGAGTTTTAGAAATGCAGAATCTCAGGCTCTGCTTCACACCAAATGAATGCAAATCTACACTGCAACAAGCTCTCCTAGTTATTTTTATGCACATTATAATTTCAGAAGCTGAAACAGTTACAATTTCTCCTTTCTTTGTATATGTCAGTAAGAAAGGATATATAGTGTAGGGCTCTAAGATGCACATAAAAATATCTTCTAATCAGATGCTGAATTCAACACAGAATGCAAATTCCTGAGCTTGTCTCTGGCTCACATGCTGTCTTCCCAGCCTCGATGACAGCGCCTCCACCAGAATGGAGCGTGCTCGGGAAGAAACAACAAATGGGCAAGTTAGCTGAAACCTAGTTCTTCACCCTCAGCATTAGTTTAACCAGCACTTTTTTTATGGGTCACTTCTCTATTTTTCAATTAGCATGTGAAAAGTTGACTTCCAACTTACCCTACAAGCAGAAGCTTCCAAGGTGTGTTCTGAGACTTAACAATTTCTGGGTTCAAATACAAATGGGCCCAGAACTAACAGAATTTCCTATGCTTAATGATGCTGCCCACTGCTTCCCAAGAAGCAGTAATGATCTAATCTTCCCATCTTGTGGAACACAAACATCTCAAGTGGAGAACAGAGGTTGCTCCTCTCTGAGTAGACAATATCCAGCTTCATGCCTGGCCCAGGCAGGCAACTAACAGTTTTGTTTGAATAAATGAGGGAACTAAATCCTCTATTAGGAAATCCAAAACACAGGTGAACAGTGATTCTCTAAAGCCTTCTTCTTCTATCCTATAGAAATGACTGAGGATATCCTAGAAAAGAATCTCAACCATATGGTCTTTTCAAAACATTATGCTTAGTGTTGACAAGAGGGACAAAAATAGTTACTTTATTTATTGATGGTTATTATTTATAAGCTTTATTTTGACAGAAATACATTATCCCTAAATAACAAAAAATAGGAAGATACTTCAGGGGATAAAACAAATCATAGAATTCTTATAATTCAAGTTATAATTGTAGATTCCCCATCTGTGGAATAATAGTATTGATCCTCATACTTCCCATTGTCTGATGTAATTGTTAGCTCATTTCAGTATTTAACTATACTATGTTATGAACACATAATATATAATGGTAGAAATTTTAACAACATAGACCCTTAAAGAAAGGCTAAGATGGATCTTATTTAATGCCTTTATATAGAGATAGTCAATTAAAATCATGATGCAGTTAAATATTTATTATATGATACATTACTGACCAATAGTGATGGATAATGGCTAGGTATATAAAGTAGACAGAATTAGATAGATAGATAGACAGATAGAAAAACAGATGATGAGAAAAGCAGGAGATAAAGATAGAAGTAAAGGAAAACACCTGAAGAGATAATTATCAAACCACTAACAGCAAGTTATCTATAGATGATAAAATACCAAATAATTTCCAATTTCTGATATTTATTTTTCAGCAATATTTCAATAAATTTTATAATGAACATGTAGTGCTTTGTAACAGGAGCTAACAGCACTGAATTATATACTTCAAATTTGTTTAACTGTTCTCACCACAAAAAAATGGAGATAAATAAGGAAGGTGATATTTGCATTAACTGACTTGCTATGATAAACGCTTCATAAAATATATGCATAGTAAATCAGCATAGTAACGCTAACATAATACAACTTTATTTGTCAAATATATCTTAATAAAGGTGGAAATGTTTGAAAGAAATAAAGAAGTCAAATTTCATTTTTAAAATATTTGAAGTGGGGAAGTCAGGAAACCAGTGACCACATAAAAAGTGAAATCAGGGGTAACTAAAGAATTTTTTAGAAGAGGAGTCGTAAAAATGATTGGCAAGACCAAAGCCCTGAATCAGCTACATGGGGGCCAAGGGAAAGGGACAGCATTTTACATATTTTGAAGCTGAAGATATGAAGACAGGTCCATTGTCAATGGAAAAGTGCATTATTTTATCAGGTATGATAAAAATATGAACTTATTTCTCCCTCTTTCATAGATATTTTAGTATACTAAAAATAATTGAGTGCAAGCCTGCTCCCATCTTCATCATCCTGTGAGTCTTTTCTTTTTCTATGCAAATGACTGTGATAAATGAGCATCATGTGAAAATGATTATGTTTTAATTAAGGAGGCTCCATTTGACATGAAAGAGGGGGGCGGGGAATGATCTCATGGTGTCATCAGCCACACAAGAGCACTTCTTTCTTTTAAACAGATCTCTAAAATCTAAAACACTGGCACTGCAAGTCCTCCAATGGAAACTGGGCCCTGGAAGAAGGAGGAAGAAGAAAGAGACAAAGGAAAAGATATAGTAGACAGGGAGAAAGTGAAGGAAAGCAAACGGGGACAGATATCCTATATTAGGAACATCTGGCCATCTTTATATTTGAAAAGGGAACAGAGGGTTTGTTATTTCACCAAGAGTATGCAATGCATATTGACATAGGGGAAAGTTAGTATTTAGGATTTTCTTTTATATTTTGTAAAGTTTTCCTAAACAAATGAAGACAAAATGAACCAAACACCATGAATTGATAACTTTATCTTGCTTTCCTCTTATACAACTGAAACAAAAATTCTGATTAAGACCAAATTTTTCTCGGTTTCTCAAAACCCTGCTTCATCCGTGCACCCAGACATCGCGCTCATTATTTGGTGCACCACATTGCAGCTGAGAGGCGCCTGCATGACCCCAAGGTGCTGCTTAACAAGGCGCAGAAAGCCGGCGCTGAGGCCCAGCTCGGGCTCTCTAAGGCTGCTGCTTCATGTGGCTGTACGGCAGAATTTAAGGCTGTGTTCACTGCTTATCCAACAATATTGAAAAGGGATTTGGGATTCACTAAATGCAAGAGCGTTCTGAGTTTCTGAAATAAACAGAAACTATGTCCTTTTGTACATATTACTATCTACTCATTTTGTAACAATAAGAGATCTGAGCCAGTTCTCCCACCCTAGTTTTAACTTCCTCTGAGTGATTGCTAATTTTACACATGAGGAAATAATTTCAACAGTATGGATTCTTTTCCTGGTTCAAATTTTTACAGAAATGAAAATACAGGACCACATCACTTTTATTTACTTATTTATGATACAGTTTCCTAAGAACTGAAACTCAGCAATGAAAGCAATATCTATAAATCCTGGAGATAAGAAATACATATTTGAAGGGAGCTGTATTTGAAGAGGATGTTTAGAGGAATGGTAAAGAGTGGGGCTCTGATTTAAAGACTGGCAAGTATTTCTCTCTGCACTGTCCATAATTCAAGACTGCCTTTGGCTTTTGAAGAACGAGATTAAAGTCTGGATATATTGGGTTTTCATTCAGGTTCAGGTTCTTTCTGGCTTCTGACTTGTAGCTGCTTCATGCCAAACCGATAAAATATATGGGTGCTGTGGTATGTGTTACATGGTGAGATAAAGTGCCTGGTTCTGCTGCTTTTGGCAATGGCTACCTGGGTTCCCTTTATCGCTTTGTTAGAGTTCATTTCCTGGATGCATTAATTTCAGAAAGGATATATAGCAGTAAACACTCTCAAAAGCAGAAACTTAGTCCATGTATACAGTCCTACTATTTGGAATAAAAATAGCAATCATTACATAAATGTAAACTACTATTTATGGCAAAGACATTACATGGGTAATGTTATTCAATCCTCCTATGCTGTGATATCATTGTTGGCCTCATTTTTAAGATAAGCAGTGGAGACTCAAGATACTACTTAACTTGCCTGTGTTTGAATAGGCAGTAAGTGTGAAGATAAGGTTGTAACCTAGATGCAGTAAATTCATAGATAAAACAATGAGGAAATAGCTCAAAAAATATCTATTCCCAGTTCCTTCAAACTCATGTCAGTGGCCCTGCCCTCTATAAAGGTTCACGTTTATCTTAGCTTGGATCTCAGGACACTTTGATTTCACATTTAATTGATTATCCTCCTAACAGACATGGCTGTTGTTCTGTAGCATCTGTATGTTTAACACTGTGCAGATCTATCTAGGAAACGGTTGTGCTGGTGATTTAGTCATAGGAGAAAAGGAGTCTTACACCAGGCTTCAGAAAATTCAAACAAAGGCACTCCATGAGCTATATTTGAAATGCTAGTACAGAACCAGTTCTAGATTTTTCTTTTATAGAATTTAATTCTAGGAAAAGAGTTTGAAGGGGGAAAATTCAGCAACATATCTGTAAAGTCCATCAATTGGTTTTCACAATGCAATACAAATTTTATTTTGTTTATTCCTCCACCACTACACCTATGAGATGTAGCGTGCAGTTCATTTATATAAAATAATTTAGGAAAGGATTTAGAACTTAGAGTAGCTCCTTAAATTTGAACCTAAGAGGACAGCTCACATTTTAAGTAAAGCATTCTTATGGTAATGAGCTAGGAGAGTAGGGCGTGGCAAAGCAGGTTGCGGAAGTGAGTGGACCTATTAAGAACAAGATCCCAGGCGCATGCCCAGAACAGTTCCCCTCTATATCTCAAAATCTGTGTGTAGAAATTCTGCAGGTTTCCTCCAGATCTGGACAGCCTAAAGGAAAGGCGCCACAAGAGTTTGCCTTGGTGGCTCTTCCTCAGGAGCGACCTGTCTTTCTCCAAAGGGTTCCTTTTATCTCGCTTTTTCCTTTTACTCAGCCGAAGTTTGCTCTGCAGAGCCATTTTCTTCCCCCATTTTTCACTTTTACTTTCTCCAGTAAACTTTGCTACGTGTTTTTATGTTTGTTTGTTTGTTTGTTTGTTTGTTTCTCACTTTGTTCAGTTCATTGTTCCAGACAAGAAGAAAGGTTTGGTGATAGAGCCCTTTTCAGGAGCAGGCTGCCTGGTAATAGTAATATCACACCATTCACGGGGACACACATAGAGGGTCTAGAGTTAGGACACCAGAACAAATGACTAAATTTTTTCAGATCTCAAACACACTTCAGTGTTTAATTGAAGGTAGAATACCAGTCTCTCGTGGAAGATAAAGGAGAGCAACGAAATGTGAACACACAAAATTCTCCGGTAAAAGTTCTTGACATCATTATCAAAATACACAGGATCTCAGCTGAGCAAAAACTTTTTATACTTATGAATCTGGTAGAAGTGGAGAACTTTTTTTGATGGAGGCAAGTTAGCATTTAGTTAACTATCCTCCCCACAGCACTATCATCTCTCAAAGACTAGGTCATATTTCACAAAATTTTACTCTGTGATACAGCAAGATCCTTCAGGAGTGACCTTTTTCTACACTCAACTAGAGATTTTAAACTCCCTGATTCCCTCAAGAAACACGAGGAAGCAATTCATGCAATTAAACTCTATTTTCTACATCCCAGTAACCTTCCAACCCTACAGGCAGAAAATCCCCATAGTCACTTTGAAAAATAAAGGCTGTGAGAATTTTGCCCCTAGGTAGATTTCTCTGTCTCCATCTTCATCTCCACCCCCCTGTCCCTCCATTAAAGCTAGATTCTTCTTAAAGACAGTTTGACTTTCCCAATTAGGCCATCAATTTAAATTACTTCCCATTGAATCATAAAATGATTCACTTTTCTTTTTAAGTGATTCTGATTTGTGGGAACACAGTGCCTTTTTTTTTTTTTTTTTTTAATCTGTATTGGGGATTGAACCCAGGACCACGCACTTGCAAGGTAGGTGTTTATTCCACTGAGCTAAATCCCCAGCCCTAGCACAGTGCCTTTTCAGAATCTCAGGCTTACAAAAAGAACATGAAAATGTATAAACTAATATTGTAACTATTATGAGTTATAATATGGTGGCAAAAATAGAAGGAAATGTCTAATTTTATCCAAGACTTACTCAGACTCTTTATGAACAAGTCCATCATCAACTGCTACAACACATTTTGCAAACAGTTTTTTTGTTGTTGTTATCCTTTCTCATAATTGCTTTAAACCATTGCTTTGAACAGTTTCTATTTAATCACCTAAAATATAAATTTTTCCTTTAAAAACTGGAAAGTAATGTTACCTACTGTTATAAAGACAGAAATATCATTACCCATCTAATTTCAAGTCTCATGCAAAATTTATAGATTTCAGGTTTACATAGAGAATGTACTTAAAAAAACTTCTGATTAAAGCATTTAATCTATAACTTATATTATTAATTCCAGAGTTATCAATAATATCAATCAGTAATCTTATCAATTTTGATAGTATCTGACATGACTGGTCATTGCAAGGAAAAAATATGGTGAATATAAAAATGGCCACTGATTCAATCCTTTAGCAGGACATTATGTATTAATTGAGAATTTTCTGTTCAGAGCCCTCTTGTAAAGGTCTTAAAAACCTGCCATACACTGTCTCATCTCTCTGTAGTCTTCAAGATAAATTACTGGTTCATATGCATTTCATTAATAAATAAACAGGCTAAATGAGGTTACTTATTAGCCAAAGAGCACATAAGACATAAGAAAACTAACTTCCAATCCCAGATATTTTGCCTCCACTGAGTTATGTCCCACGAAAACTCATGGCATCAGATCTGAACATCTTATCAAACAAACTGTATTTCACTGTACCACTAATTCCTCTCCTAGCTGAGGAAACTGAAGGTATATAGTCCTCCAAGTTTAACAAGTTCACAACTATAGACTTTTCTTCTGCAGAAAAAATTCTTAGATGTATTTTTATAAAATCAATCAGTAAGAAATCATTAGTGGGCACAAATAACATTCTAGGAACTATATGAGGAGCTGAAAAGACTGCAAAGTAAAGGTCACTAGTTTCATTGAAATTCCAATGTTTTCCCACAAAATCATAAATAGCTACCATTTGTGTTCTTTATAAATTATTACCCAAAACACTTTCTACTTATTATTTCATTTAAAAATCACTTAATACTTCCAACTCCTTGTAACACTGAAATGATTAACTGAGAATACAGTGGTACAGAATGGCTAAGTGACTTGTTCTTACATCTCATGTCTTCCCTAGGTCTGGTATCTGTGAACGTGTGTTAAGAACAAGATGACTTAAGTAGGTTGTACATTATTGTTCTCTAGAACTTGGAAATGTCTACTTTGAGTAATTTTCTTTGTCTTTTCAAAGAATTCTCAGAATAAGTATATGTGCTTTGATGGAGAAAGTAGAAGAGCTAGGCTAAATTTAAAGAAGTTCAGAAATATATGTAACTACCACTAGACATATTTTATACATAATACCTAACTTTTTCCTACAGTTTTACAACTTACCTTTCTACTATCAAAAATATTTTTTATTGTTCTACTCAAACACTTTAGAACAGCCTGCAAAGCATTTTTCTGTAAGTATACAATTCAGTTATTCTTATGTTGTTTTCTATTTCTGAGTTGTTAATTAAATCAGAGCCTATGAATTCTTAAACAATGATTTGATTGGCATGTAGAACTGTTATACTTTCTTATGACCCTGTGGAAATTTTTAGTAAGTCAGAATGAGATTTGGCTTCACAGCTTGTATAACTGTGTTCATGTTCCACATTTTTTATTGACACTTTTTTCAATTTCCAAATCTATGTCCATTAATAAAAAATGAACCATATTTTAATTTGTAGCCCATGAAGAAAATTTCCTAGTTGAGAAATGTTATTAGTTATCAGATCTTAAAAGACAATTCTTATCATGGCCAAAAGAGACAGCCAAAACTGTAATAGAATGACAGTACTAATAGTATAAATTGTATGACACAACATACAAGCTTAACACATCAATTTAAGTCCATGACCACATACAAGATATAATTCAATATATCACTGAGAAAGGATAATTTTCAATTTAGAAAAATCACAAAATAATTAAGTTTTCACTCTAACTAATCTCTCTTCATATATAATCTACTTAATATGTTATCAACAAAATGCTTTTTGTGTATTTTAAAAGATTGGCCATCGGGTCTATTGACCTCATGCAAAGCTGACATGGGGTAAATTCCAGTGGCTATATAAAATCTGTATTCTTTCTATATTTTCCAAAACAAATTTGGAATTCTAAAGAAAAAGAACCTCATTTGGTGACTGATACCACCATGCAAAAGCTCTAAAGGAACACATTTTCCAATAACTATTGCATTACTTCCCTTTCTTTTATGCTTGTAATACTCACTTATGCCCACAGCTGTGATGAGCTTGATTGCAAGTTCAGGAATTTCACACGGCATAAAAAATGGCTCCAACACATAACGTCCAAATGCCAGAGATATCACAGCAGTAGCTGCAGGGCTAAAAGAAAAAGAAGAAGAAGAAAAGAAAAGAAAGAGAGAGAAAAGAAAGCAAAACAAAAGGAAAAATTAAAGGGAAAATTTGTATCATCACTAAAATTTTTCTATCATGAAATATTAATACTTAGCACATGGAATATGTGCAATAGTAAAGTCTATAATTTTAAAATTCCATATTTAATTAGGCTGCCACAGATATTCCAAAGGAAATATTGCCTATAACATTGTTGGCTAGTTGGTAAATATCATTGGAAATAAGTCTGAGAACTACCAAGCTGACCCCCACTCTTAGTATTTGACTTTTTAATTCCTTAAAGTTTGCATTTATTAAATGAGATCCTGACATCCGTAGGCCTTACCAGAAACAGTTTTCTTTCTCAGTAAGTTAATAACTAAGCTCCAGCCACAGCACAAATTTGTTTATGGTACAGATCTAATGGAGTGTGCCTGGTGAAGAAAAGGAACACGAAAGTCAATCTAAAAAGTTAGTAATAATAAGTGTTCCTTGCCAACACATGCTTGTTCTTCATTCCATAAAAATATTTAGATGCAAATATTTTATACAACTAAGAAATGCATAGAAAAACTGTTCAGATGTGCAGCAACACAGCTAATAAACCATTCTACTCTAATTCTTCAAATACTCCTGTTAGAAAATTTCACCTCTTCATATATACATACTTTCCATTCATAATAAAGTGCATAGAATTGTCTACTTTCTGATGCCTGGTTTTTCTTTCAGCTTCTCTTCCTTCTCATGATGACCCAGCCCTCATATCTGATTCCTAGATTACCAGAAATCCAACCACCATTTTGTGTTGCCAACGATGGCCTGCTGGTACCAGAGAGCACCTTTCATCTTTCCTAAAGGCCTTTTTCTCTTTCTTCCAAATGAGGCTACATTTTCTGTGCTCCATCATTTATAGAAATTTTAAATAGATAAATTAAAATCTAGCCATGTCATTCACCATTTTCGAACTATGCTCTGGATATGTTAGCAACTCTCACTTTGCATTCAAAATTCTATGTGGTCCAAGTTCCCTCCATGTCTTCAGTGGCTTGCTCCCACTGCAATAATCAGAATCCTGTGACTTCACCTTACTATTTTTAATTCTTTAGGCTTCAGTGCAATCCTCTTTGGTTCAGAAATACTTCTCTAGCACTTGGACTGGGCCACCATCTCCCAGAGTATTCTGTTAAAACGCCCTAGCTTCCCTTCCGCACTGCTTTCCACAATCACAAATTTATTCACTTAGGTGATTCCCTGATTGATAACTCTTTCTTCCAACTAGACATTGAATTCCATAAATCCATCATAATCATGATTTTATCACCAGCTTTTAGTGTCTTCTAAGAAGTAGAAACTCAATACATATTGAATATATGGTAAATGAGTGAATTCAATTTAATGATCTCTGTTACGTACTACTGGAGTTTTCTCTCCTTGAATGTGCTTTACAGATTATATCCAGCAACAGTGACTCAATCAGAAGATATAATTTTAATGGAAATATTTAGGTATTACTTGTATAAGTAATAGAAGGGAAACAGTATTTTAATACAGTATTTTAATACTTCCCTTCCCTTAAAATACTTAGGTATCTTGTTTCTCTTCAAGTATCTGAAAGATCAAACCAGCAATATGAGTTCAGTTAAAAACGTCTAGAATTTCTCTAGGGAGTTTCTCTTGTTAACACACACATCATTAAAAAGTGCCTTCAAAATTAAAGAAACAATGAGTTATCAACTCTTGGAGGGCAAGAACTGGGCAAGATCATGCAAGTTCAGATCTCTTCACGTTGCCACTCACTGTTTGATGGCAGTTTGTGGAATGAATAAATTAATAAACGAGCACTTGTCTGTATAATAGCAAGTAGAATGGTCATGTTCATACTAATGCCTTGCAATTAGTCAAGGTTAAAAATACATGAATGAAGACAGATGCAAGTCCAACTATACCCAACACCACAGTCCAGCAGTCTGACAGACCAGCACTTTAATTACTTAATTAGTGCATTTATTTGAATGTTGAGTATATTCCTTTCAAAATATTATAGTTTCTATCATTTATTTGAAAAGAATTTATATCCAGAATACATAAGGCACTAGTATAAAGGTTACAAGAAATGTAGGATCTGATCTTATGTCATTCAAATGCTTGCAGTTTGAACAGGAAAACAGAACAGACACCTAGAACATTAAATAAAAATACAAGCTGTCAATTTCAATGTCAAATGAGAAACAGAGACTATATTTTTCAGAAGAATTGAAGGTGAAAGAAATGTTAAAAGCTAGAATAAACAAGTAATTAACTGAAAAAGATAAGATTTATATTGACCTTTGGAGCATATCTAAGATTCACATAATGCAAAAAAGAACAAAAGATACATCCCATGAAGGGAAACTTAGAAAAGGAAAAAATCCTCCTTTGTCATTATTTCATTATAATTTGTTCTAAGGAACCCAGAATTGTTTAAAATGAAAATAGAGTTAACAGGGAAACATATACTATTCTCAGGTGCTTTGAGGGAAAGGAACTCAACACTGTAAAACTCATTAGTGTTAATGGATATTAATTTGCTCTGCATTTGCCAATTCTGTGAATGACAGAATAAAAGTTCACCCAAGTTCTCAGCTGTGCAGGTCTGATAAGTTCACAATCACAGCAGGTTTCCCTAGGTATTTGGATTATATACTGTAACTAGAAAGTGCAAGTCACTTATCAGGAAACTAGCCCTAAGGGACTATGCTATTCTTAAACTACTCATGTGACATCATAAATTCACCACAAAATTGAAAGAAAATTGCTATTCAGAGTGACTTAGCACTATCCACTGCCAAGATCAGGAAGAGGAACATTCTACAACAATAAAAGCAAAAGATTTTCACAACTCTCTTTCCCTGACTGATTCAACATGAGGAAGTGAGTCATTTATGGTATGTAAACTTGATTTTTTTTTTATAGAGTAGACTTGATGACATATCAGGTTGTTAGGACAGGCATGCCTTAGTCACGAAAATGGAGTAAAGTTAAATGACTCAATGACATAATCTTCACTAAGAGAAAATTCTAGTTGTTAGTATAGTTTCTTGCGTCTAGTTAGTCAATGTATGTAAATTATCAAGGTAATTTTCATGCTTTATATTCTAGAGAAGTTCAAAAAGAAATGTTTAATGTACATTAAGTAAAATTAGTTATAAATTTAGGTAAGCATATTTCTCAGAAATATGAAAGAGAATAACTTAAGATTAAAGAAAAGCAGTACTCTAAAAAGTAGAGCATATTGGGGAATCATTGCGAATGATAATAATTGCACTGAGAATTTTAATCTGGGAAAGTATTGTATCACACTTTTTACATCCATGTTTACAAGAGAGTCACTTGATATGCACATTTCTAATTAGCTAAAAATAATCAATTGCAAAAGACTAATGAAATTAAGTTTTCCCAGGTTCTTACCGTATTATAAGCAGTTCCACCCAGACTCGTACAAAGGCTAGTAATGGCCCAAAGACTTCTAGGATGTATGTGTAATGACCACCAGATTTCTTTATGCTTGTTCCCAATTCAGCATAGGACAAGGCTCCTGTGAAATGGTTAGGATAAAAAGATACACATTTAATGTACTATCAAGCAATCGTATCGCCTTGGCTCAATGATATTTATGTTGCATGAAATGTAACAACTTCCTCTGGTCTCAGTGGCATCCTTATTTCAAAACAACCAACATCTATCGCTGAGACCCACTGGATCCTCTCCTAATTTCCTCACATCTGAACCCTAGTTCATTCTACTCAAACAATGTCCTTTTATTTGAAACGGTAAGCACAAAATTCTACACTATTCAGTGTTTCAGAGTTTCGAGTTAGAAACCAGGAAGCAAAGGGAAAAAGAGAAAACATATACCAGTAATGCTGACCTGTTATTGAAGAACACAAACTTACTGTGTTGAGAACTCTTAAAAAATACATTTCTCTGGCAAATCAAAGTAAGTTCAGTAATATATGGACTACATGCCATGAAAGACTTCATTTAATTTGCAGTATATTTTGCACCAGAAAAATGAATTCTGACATGTTATCATGTTTCTAAAAAGGGTACAATGGATGTTCTGCTTTTTGAAAAGAGAAGCTATAATGTATGTTAGGTGAAAAACTACTTTTTTAACATGTAGAAACTCATGGAATTTGGCAAGCTGTGTAACCTTCCAAAACCTATAAAATAAAAATTTTAATTTTTATCTTACAAAGGAGTTGTGGATATGAGTGACAATCACTGCCAAAGCCAGTACTGGGCCTGACACACAGCAAGCATCACATGAAATATAGCTATACTTATTAATCTGAGCAATTAGTAATCAAGAAAATGAACAATAAACTGAAGATCATGTAAAAAGTTCTATACTGTTAAATGCTCAAATGTAACCCACAATTATTTCCCCAGCTATTTGAAAGGCTGTGTATGAAAAGTTACTACTAATCAGTGATATTTCATACAGATTGGTTAATGAAAGTGTAACTTAGATACACAGAGAAATCTTAGTAACACTTATCTGATTCCTGAGGTTAGTATTACATACGAGCTACCTAGATTTTTCACTTGAGAAAATTCAAAGGAAAAACATTAAAAAACCATACTCTAGACTGGCCAAGCAAAAGAATCCAAACTCTCCAAACAGGAATAAAAAGGTTTATAATGTTAAAATTCCTGCAGAGAAGTCTAAAGTAACTAGTGTGCAGATGAATATGTAGAGAATATATGATATACTTCTTTTATTTATCACTAATTATAATTAGCTGCAGTTCATCCTTTCCTGAAAAATGGTCTCCATATTGGTAGGCTGTCCAGAAAATAATCCAATATAAAATGCTTTTGGAAACAGTTTTAAATACCTCAGAATTTATTGCCAGACAATCGATATCAAACCTCAGTATGGTCTGCAGAAGCCTCAGGATGGCCGCCCTAACTTTAAATTGAATTCTGGGGAAAGAGATTTTCATTTAAGGCTCTCAAGCTCTATAACCATTTTACACAGATGAAAAAGTTCAAAATAGGTTCTAAAAGTCTAAGTATTGACCCTGGCTTTTTAAAGAAGGTCATAAATCAAATATGTTCCTTCACTTACAGTGGCATTACATTTCAAAAACGCCATCATAAACTGAAGATATTGCTAGCCACTTATGTATCTAAATTGCAGAATATGATAATATAGTCTAGCCTAACTTAAACAAGCTAGAACATTACATTTGCCTATAATTAGGCAAAACCATCTAATGTTAAGTTTATTTCATAGTTAAGTGTTGAATAAGTTATTATTACTATTATTATTATTATTACTATTCACTATTGTGGAGTTTTAAAAAGTCTTAGGTCAAACCATTGCAAGTCGGAGACCATCATGTTTATAGATTCTTGACTCTTAGGTTCATAGTTCAAGAGTTTTAACAAAAAAAGTTTATCTTCTTATAGTTTGTGCTTCGTTCTCTCAGGGTTAGGGTAAGGGTTAGGGTTTTGAAGCTGCTCATCCTTAGATTTCACAGTGTCTGGTACCTCTAACTGTTGCAACACAATTACAAACAATTGCACAAGCATAAGCTTGAAAATGTATGTGCATCATCTGTCTGGCTGTCTCCTAGTGGACTAGCATGCACACTTCATTAGAAGTAGCTAAAAAACAAGTAACAGAAACAGGTGTTTGAGCCTCAAAAAATTTGCCAACATACATAAGCTTATCCTGGAAGTCACAGGTATGATAAGATGTATTTTTCAGTTTTGCATCTTTGAAAACCCGTGTATATGGGAAACATAAGTATATAGAGTATACCATGCACTTATACTGATATATGATATCATATAACTGCAAAAATTATATGATAATTCTTATCATAGCTATGTTGGAAAGTTTATACATATTTACTTAATTTTTACTCTTAAGGCAAAACTTAGACCCCTTTAATGGGTTTTACAGTGACGGTGTAACTGTACTGACAAGAATTAAAGGACATCTACTGGGCATGTGTATCCATGCTTGTAACCCAGCATTTGAGAGGCTGGGCAGAGATTGCCATCAGTATGTCGTCCACTAAATGAAATAGCGAGACCTTGCCTCAAAAAAAAAAAAAAAAAAAAAAAAAACAGAACTGAAAGTACCTCTTTAGAGCTCTTGGTGTACATTTAAGAAATGGTGTTTATGACCATGAATAGGCTTATTAGCCAATATCTAAGTGTAACTCATTTAGATAATAACAAAATGTTTGTTTAATCAAAGCCAATAAATGTAGATTAAGTTTTAAATGGCAAGACCAAATTTAAAAGAAGCCACACTATCTCTAAGGTCCAGATGTATATTGTATAAAAGAGAGCACCTGTCAGTTACTTCAAATGTCTTAAGTCTATGTCATTTTAATTATAGAAATAATTTCAGAGCTTAGATGTGCAACATATCTTGTCTTCAGATGTATCTCCAGTTCCAGATATATAGGTTGTATCATAAACTAAAATAATAGTAATTGTTAATTTAGTCATTAATTGATTATTTTATAAGTCAATACTTAAATCCTCTTTAAGACTTAAAGCTCAGTTTAAGTAACTAAAAGCCTAACAGTGGAACACATGAGAAATTGTCTTAATAGAATTTGGATCATTTGCTTTTAAATCTAGCTTTGTAAATTTAACCAGGAGCATCTCTTAATAAGAAAACCTTATTTTTTAGCTATAAAAATCTCAATCTTTTAATTATAACTAACTCAAGTACATTATAATAATTTGTTTAGTAGTTGTTGGGACATGATACTAAAGGATTCTGGGAAACACTGAACAATGTACACACTTTAAAAGTAGAACTATAAACAAGTACATTCTACTTAAATATCACTCTAGTAACAGAGGAGAGTTAAAAGTTAACAAACTAGGTAAAAGTTTCTTTCTGTCATTTAATATTTTTTGATTAAAGGTTACTTGATAGTAAAATGGACTAAAAAGTTATTTTGTAATAAAATGGAGATTTAAATGCATTTCAGAGGTAATAGCAAAGCCTAGTGGATTTCATATAACAATGTCACCATGATTGTCATGCTACAATGCTACGTTGGCCTTGACCTCAAATTTTCTCTGTAAAACTTTATAATCATTATCTGTTAACATTCTACAGGAACTTGACTTCTAAAATGACCATGACATGTTAAAAAAATCACAGTTCTCTGGTCATAATTTATATTTCAAGGTGTTTTATATCCAGAGAAGATAATTAAAACTATTACTGCAATACTTAGGTAACTAATTTCCTGGGTGTTTATCAACTCAAGTTTGAAGATCAAAGCTTAAGAAAGGATGACTGAGACAACAGGATAACCAATATTTTGGCCCAGGCTTACCAGAGTGAACAGGGACTGAGCATATAAGCAAAACTTTTCTACAAAATCCCACAGCTGGCTGGAGATTTAGCTCAGCATCATAAGCACCTGTGTAGCAAGCAAAAGGTTGTGAGTTCTATCCCCAGCACCAAAAAAAAAAAAACCCCAAAATTCCACAACTTTGGTGAGTCACTCAATCTCCTGGGCAGGAAGATGATTGAATCCCTGAGAAAAACCAGTGTACACTCTCACTAAAGAGAGAAATATCTCCCAGGCTTCCATAGGAAGCCACATGGTCAAGCAAGACTGTGACCTATCCTAGCAAATGACAATGACAGAGGAGCTAAGAGACTCTGTACATGTTTCCAAAAGTAACTTCTGAAGAGCCCTGACTTTGATATGTGCAACAAAAGATTAATTTTGATTAACCCAGATCTCACTTTAACTTGGTCTTAAATACCCAACAGAAAAGTATGACCAAAGATAAATAAAAATAATAGTGATATAGGCTAGACATTAATGGGGCTCACATTGCTACACTGACCCCCGACAGCCTCCAGCTATACCTCTGGCTAACCACTATCACAGTTCAATGAGACTAGAAAGCCACAGTAACTGCCAAGGAAGCTGAAGAAGGGTCTTTGAATTCTTTAGCTAAAACTGCTCTTCAAAACCACAGAACTCTCCACCTTCTTACAAGGACAACTACAGAAATCTGTGCACTAATAAGTAAAACTTGTCTTTAGATCAATAATCAAGAGACAAAAGATCTTAAAACCATAAAATAAATGTCAGATGTATAGATAACTTCCATTAACAGGCAGGTCTAGGATCCTAGTCAGTCGCTTAAACCAGTGTCTAACCTCAGCTCCCCAGTTTGTCCGTTCATCATGGTTCTATGGTGGGGCCATGCATCCTTAATCGCTTGTTAAAATGTGTTTCTTCTTGCCTAGAGGGTGTTAGACTCCAACTGGGCACACAGATGAAGCCAATGATGAATGTGGTAGACTCCTTTTCCTGGGGTCCACTAGATAGTCCTCTAAAGAAAGCTCATCCTTGATAAACCCAACATGACTTCTTTCCCAGGCCTCTTAGATAAGCTCTCTGGAGAACATTCTTGACTGCTGTCTCCCTCCATCAATCTCTTTCAACGTGAAGCAGCTATGTTCAGTCTTTGTTCTCCTTCATGGCGGTTAAGGATACTTCTTCAGAGAGATGAAATGTAGAAAATAGTTTTATTTAGTTTATGAGTAAGCCAGCCAGCCAGTGGAAGGACCTGAGATAGAGTGGAGTGACCAGCCAGACCTACTGATTAAAACCAAGAGAAGACAGTGCACTGAGACTTTGAACAAAGAATGAATTTCCTCAGGCAGCGTGGAATGCAGTCCATGACCCACTAAAAGAAGGTGGAATCCTTCCGCATTCAGATCCTGAAGCCAAGTGAAGCCACTCAGATCCTGCATTCTGAGGAAATTATAATGCAAATTAACAAGTTCCGAGATCCAAGTTTCCTATGTCCTTCTGATGTGTTGAAGAACTGAGTTGAAAAATCCCAGTTGATCATTTTAAATCCACATAGCCACCTGTGATAGGTGATCACTAAATGTTTAAGCAAGTCCTGTACACAGTTTCCCCTTGCTTAATTCTCAATTGACAGGCCACACAACTACCCAAATGGGACACCCTCCTGGATCAGGAGCTATTCTCCTTCTCCTTATTTCCAATAAAAACTCTAAGAAAATAAAAAGCTACTAGTAATTTAAGTGAAAAGTAGAATGCACATTAGTTGATAAGATGATTAATATGTGAACATATTCCCTTTAACTAGTAATCAAAAACATTAACTCTGGTGTAATTTAAGTGACACTCCTCTTAGCTCTTCTTTTTTTAGCTTCCACATAAGGTAATATACTTATGAATAAGTACACTCTCATCATACACATCAATTTAGTTCAGTACTCAGCATATTTTATTACATCTGAAATAATGTGTACAATTTATTTTATTACATGTTTGTGTGTGAAAATTGAATCACACAGTAAGAGCTACATCAATATAAGTATGCAAAGTCCAAGAAACTCACTGTAGTCTTTCTGATGACATAATTTTTTCTTTATATAACAAGATTAAAGGTTGAGGGTACACAATGTCACTGAAGAAGAGGAACAATTACATTTCTCTTTGTCAGAAAGCCAGGAGCATTTTGATATTAGTAGTGCCTGAGACTTCCATCAGAGTTTTCCATAAAGATACTACTCTAAAGTATTCTCCAAGGACAGAGAGCAGCTCTGGAAGGACAATGACACACCAGTGTTACTAAACATCTTATGAAGTACAAGCTATTTACATAAATAATAACACAAACTCCTCCTGCCTCAGCCTCCTAAGTGCTAGGATAATACATATGCCCCAACACACTTGGCTACAAACTGTTTTTTAAAAACCTAAAAATAAGGGGCTGGGGATTTAGTTCAGTAACATGAGCACCTCCCTGGCAAGTGTAAAGTCGTGAGTTCAATACCCAGGACAAAAAAAAAAAAAAAAAAAAAAAACTAAAAATAATTCCTCTATCCATCTTTCTCTACTGAAACTCCATTGTAACAAGTTTTATTTAAAACTTTCTTCCAAAAAAAGAAAGAAAGAAAGAAAAGAAAGAAAGAAATTTAAGTTCTTTAAGTTTCCCCAACCAATGAGTTAAAACATGGTGACATCTGAATAGGAAGAATGAATGGACCAGGGCTCTGGGCTAACAGTAAGTCCTGTAATTGGTTGCAGTTAGGACAATGTGTTGGAAACCTTAGAGGTAGCACCTTGAATCAAAGCACACTACGTTCCAGAGAAGATTAAAACTATCTTAGACATTTACTGCATACCATAAATCAAATTTGAGAAACAACTTTTTTTTAGACAATTCACTAGTTTGTGTCGCCTTTAGAATTAACTCAGGTAGCTTTCTAAGAAAGCTGATGAGAGGGCATTTATTTACTTTTCACTACCAATTCTCTAATCAATAGAAGAGATGCACATTTTGAAGAAAACATAGTGATCATACTTCTACCAATTCTTTTCCAATTCACTCAGTCAACAGTTGGACAAGTTATGTTTCCCTGGAGACCTAGTGAAATACAGATGAAAAAAACAGATCTGGGCAAGTATTAAAAAAAAAAAAAAAAAAAAAACTAACACTCAACTGCAGCTTTAAAACGCCTGTTGCAAAAGTTTATAGCTCTCAAGAAAAAAAAAAAAATGCAAACAAAAGCTTGATATAGGCTTGGGCCACTGCAATATTCCCACTTAGGTTTAAAATGGAGGTATGTCCCTGATATGTCCCTCCACGTCGAGGACTTTTAAAAGACTGGAACTGACAAGTTTAAGAAATTACAAGAGAAGGCTGCCACCGTTTGTCTTGCAAATGAAAAGTCAGAGAAACTTGTGCTGAGTTCTCAGCACTACAGCTGAACAGGCCACAGCGGTTTCACTTCTCAGGTGTCTCACCCAGCCGCCAGCTGCCAGAATGCCCCAAACCCCGTAACCAAACACCACCGCCCGGGGCAGAAAGTTTAACGCACGTTTTCATCAAAGGGAGCCTTTGCTCGGATCACCACCGGGAAAAGTGCGGCCAGTGGTCTGCGTTAGCGAGGGAGGAGAGGCGAGCCGCAGGGAGCAACCGCGGGGGACGCGGGCGGCTGCCAACAGTGTGCACCGCGTTCCCGGAGTCTGCACACCTCAACGAAACTTTCCCGTCCTCTTCTCAAAAATTCACCCTTTGCTTTCCCAGAAAACAAACTTGCCAGCCCCACAGCCGCACGCATGCCCCAGAAGAGCTGCACTCACCGAACAGCGACAGGATGCCACAGGCGGTCCAGACGCTGAGGGACATGCCCACGCTGCCCGTGTTCTGCAGCACGCCCTTCGGGGAGATGAAGATCCCTGCTCCGATGATGGTGCCAATGATGATGGAGATGCCCCTCAGTAGGGTGATTTTCTTCTTCAGCACCACTCTCTCCTGCCCCGCTGCCGCTGGAGGAGGCTCCTTGCCACCCCTGGCAGGCAGCCTTCCGTGGACATTTCCCTGCAGGTAACCTCCCTTGGAGATGGTGGCCACGACGGGCTTTCTGACCATGGTTCTGACACACGGGGGAAAAATAAAATAGCAAGGAAAAGAAAAAAAAAAAAAAGCAGCAACAAAACTTTCAACTTGAGTGTCTCTTTGGTGTGACTTTAAGTCTCTTCCTCTTTGCGTTCAGAGTGTCTCTCTCAGCGCACTGTGTTCACAGGTAAAAACTCAAAAGGTGTGTTTTAGCCCCCACAGCTCTCTAATTACTCCTCAGAAACACCTGTGCATGCTTGGTGCACTGGGTTCCCACCTCCCCGTCCTGTTCCTGAGGCTGCAGCAGCGGCTGTGCCCTATCATCACAAACCAGCTCAGCTTCCTCATGGGCTTGTATTTAACCTCCTGCCTGTCACACCAAGTTACTCCAGCTCCATGATGATGCAAATTCTCCAGGTTTGCATCAGCCACATGAGCGGGCTCCAGCATTACTCAGCTTTTTTCTTTTCTTTCTTTTTTTTTTTTAACAGTAGCAGCATGTTGCACAACTGACCTCAGCTTTGCCGAGAACAAAGCACACACTTAAAAGGGATCTTAACCAATCCAGAAGAGGGAAACTCAAAACAGACTTCCTAGAGATTGAAAGCAAACTCCTAGCGATGATCAAAAGCCCCTCAACTGCAGAGAAAATCAAAAGTGAAACAGGAAATGATTACTTCATTTTAAGGAGTTACTTTTTGCTTTAACTCACCTATAACAATGTTTTATGCACAACTCTTTTGACAAGAAAAAGCAACTCAAAGCTGCAGTGTTTATAACAACAAAATTTACATTTCGTAGTTTGTATCATAGTTTTACATTTTTTGTTTGAGTTTCCTAGCAACACAGTCAAAGCTAAGATTTATAAACCAGAAAGATTTTACACTCCAGGGCTGCTGCTGCTACATTTGCAATTTAATAACTAAGTCTTACTAAACTCTAAAAGATAAGATTATTTCTTATGGCCCATAGTCATCTGGTATTTAAAATCAACTAGATGTGATAAATTTAGAAGTCATGATGACTCCAGAAAAGTCATTTTCTGATTTTTGTCTGCACTAGATGGTTTCCTGAATGAAGCAGAAGATACATATTCCTCATCTGCATGTTCTTCCACACACCACCAAAAGTTCTGCTTTCAAAATGAAGAATAATTATAATTACATATAATCATATTTAGTCCAAAAACTTAAAAAAAGGAATACACAGAAAAGTAGTTGTAACAGGTAATATTATGCATCTTTTTTCTGGATTCATGAGCTATTGTTATGATTATAAATTTGCCATGCACTAAAATCACTGGTACTAAGTTACAGTTCAATAGGATCAATAAGTTCTAAAGTGTTCTTGTATAACACAGTGATTACAAATAACAATAATGTATTATACACTTCAGAAAGGTGAAAGAAAGAATTTTGGAATTTATCACTAAGAAGAAATGTTAGGTGTTTGAGAAGGTAAAACATGTAACCTGATTTAAACATCATTTTCTATTGCACTGAAGGATCCCATGTACTGAGACATCACATAACACACTATCAATATGTACAATTTTATGTTGCTATGTATCAATTAAAAACAAACTTGTAAAAAGATTATAAAAAATAAAATTAAAATGTGACCAAAATATAAGCTAAAATCAAGCTATTTACTTTGCAGTAATCAAAAGGGCAAAACACTTTTAGACTTCTAATTTTCCAAAGTATCTAAAAATCAAATGCTAAAAGAAAAAGAAATATTAGTGTCATTTTTGGCTGTGTTTGTATATGGTATTGAATTTAATGAGGACAGTTGGCTGTTCTCAGACCCGGAAGCTCAATTTATACACACCATTAAATATGCTTCTGAACTCCTGAGTAAAACAACAGAAACCTGTGTGAGAGAAGGCCAGGGCAGGTGTGGGAATGGACAAAGGGGATGATGTCCAGTTGACTGAAGAGAGAGCAAGCCATTAGAAAAGTATCATGGAAAATGTCAGTTTTCCATTAGGCTAGCATCTCAGCAAATTATACCACATCAGTGTTTAACCATCCAAATAGCCAAAGCTATGTAATTTGCTTTTCACGTTACCTACCTAAATTCTACGTAATTTGCTTTGAATTTACCAAGTTGGAACACTTATAAAACCAAAGTTAATAATTTTCTCTCTCAGGAGTTACAGCTTTCAAAAAAATGAAAATTGGAAGCTTTCCTTAATTCTTTGGAATTTTTAAAAACATAAAAGAAGCAAAATAAAGACTGTCCTCCTGCTCCCTACATGCCCTGCAATTCACACAATTCTCCTGATTAATGACCAGGCAAGGGAGAGGAAAAGTTTTTGTTTCCCCACAAGGGTAATGGCTCTGAAGAAATATGAGTTAGAAGTAGACTCCCTACATTCCCAGCAAGCAACTTTCTGTCTCTTTCTATACAGTGGCATACTTCTATTTTAAATTTTATTATAAATGACTTAGACTAGTAAGTTGAGAATAAGACCCCATTCAGACATGAAGTCAGCTAAATTCTAAAGAAGGAAAAATATTCCTTCAATATTAACTAACATTCTCTTCCTTTGCAGTATTTACAAAAATATTTGTGATGAAAAAACTTCACATTAGACTAATGATCAAAAAGATTATACTAACAGGTAAGGATCACACTCAAAAAGTGTTCAAACCTGTACAACTACTAAGACACTAATATATCTTTTCTAATCACATAGAAAATTTCAAAAAAATGCAGGTTACAACAAAAACATTGGGTTACCTTTAATGTTGATAATCACAATCACCAGTCTTAAACTTATAAATTAAATAATTGGATAGTCTTCAAATATGTGTGTCATACAAATAAATTCAAAACAAGTGAATTTATATTTCTATTGCTTTCAGACTTACTGTATTTCAGTCAAATTAAAGAGATTGTTCTTCAATATTTATTTAGGGCTTACTATATACAAGGAACAATTCCAATGCCCCCAAAGCATCTCAAGGATGAAATACACAGGGTATGTTGTGGTACTCATCATTTGGTAGAAATGATTTCCATCATACAATTATCAATATGAGCATATAATCCAAGCCTTATGAAAAACATAATCATCTGTCAGGCTGCACTCCTATCAGAATGTAACACAACCCGGGATATTTCTAACTAGGACTAGAATGACTATTTCTTATCTGTTGGAAGTTATAAAGGTGTGATCCCAGGGCCACTGGAGTAGCGTCCCCAGTCATGTTTGCCCAATTCTCATGAAAACTAAGAACACTCAGAGGTGAAGGATATTTACAAAGTCCTAGAGATTAATGCCTATTTTAGTTCCTAGGAGATCCAGGTTGACAATAGATCCTGAAAATCTACCATTAGTTCTATAAACTCTAGTTCCCTTGCTGGATGAGATCCTTCATGTCACATCTAAACCCTAAGTTGGCATGGATGGTGCAGATGGACATGAATAGCTCATCATTCAAACCTATAGAACCAGGTCACTCCACATGCTTCCTATCCATCGCATGTAGTTACCAACATCTGAATTGGGACTCAAATTTGGGACTCTATAAAATAGCTTCTCTAAGAATGGGCTTATTATTTTCTTCACAAAAATTTGTCACATCTTATCTATAAAAGATGAAACCTACTTTTGATTCATTTTCAGTCAAGGGTATTCTTGATATCCTCTTCTTAGAGAAGTTTTTCCAAAGAATGACGATAAAAGGGAAAACTGCCCAATTCATTTTTGTGAACCTAACGCAGAAGCTGACAATAAATATTTTAGGCTTTCCAGCTATATTTGCTAATTGACTAACATCTTGACTACAATTGGAATGAAGCAATAGAAAACCATTGAAATGACTTATGCAGGTGATTTTTGCAAATAAAATTTTATTACAACACATCCATGTCCACTTACTTGTTTACTGTGTAGGCTGATTTCATATTACAACAGTATTCAGTACATGTAAGAGACATCAAATGGCCCACAAGGTGGAAAATGTTTACAAGATGGCTTTTCACAGAAAAAGTTTCCTGATTCAAGCGGGAGAGAATATATAGGAACTGATAACACATTTCCATTTTTTGTTTTCTCTCTTAATCTCTCTCCTTACATGCGCAATTGTTTGTTATTCCTGAAGGATACGGATTGGTCAGCCTTTGGACATTTGAAATCATTATTCTTTATATCCCCTCTGCTTGAAATTGTATTTCCTTAAGAGACACATGCTTGGGGCTGGGGATTTAGCTCAGCGGCATAAGCACCTGCCTTGCAAGCAGGCGGTTGTGAGTTGGATTCCCGGTACCGATTAAAAAAAAAAGAGAGACACATGCTTTATTCTTTCCCCTCTTATAATATCACACTAATAATTATATTAAAGAGTTAGTAGCTGTTAGTTTTCTTTTCCTTCATTAAACAGCATCTGTTCATTTTTCTTTGCTGCTTGATCTGGGATTGCATTTTTATTTCTGCATCTTGAAATAACTAGCCCATTGTCTATAACAGAGTAGTGAGTGTTGAATATTTTTTAATCATTAACTCCCAATAATATTGACAAAATTATGATACAAATTTAATGGGAAAGTGAGAAGAGTGAATTAGAGGGAAGAAGAAGAGGAACATAAACTCATCACCTTTCACAGTAGAAAGTGGACAACACGAAACTACAACTATTAGCACCAGAAACAACACTTAGTGGTTTGGAGGCAAAGAGTGGGAGAAAATCAAGTTAGTAAGGAAAATGTTGACTCTGGGAAAAACAAAAATGGGTTCTTGGCAAAACAGAAGAGGCTATTAAAAAAGAAAGACATTAGCTCATTGAAGAAATATGATCTTACTCTTTGATAAAAATAAAACTAACTGAAATTAACACAACTATACCCAAAGTTTAGACAGCATAGCATAAAAATAAAAAGTGATCAAAATAATATTTCCAATATTTGCTGGGTTTGGGGACTTTGGAGTCTCCTTCAGGCTAAGTAAAAGTAGAGAAAGGAGTACACTCTAGAGCATGAGTGTACCACCGTGCCAGACAGACACGATGGCTAAAACCCGGCATGGACACCCTTGTATCACCCAGGCCTCATGCCTGCTTCCGCCCAAGTAGCCTTGCAGGTAAACCTGCAAGTTCACAGGAGAAGTCCATGCAGGGCTTCCATGTATCCGGGAATTCTGTAATTAACAGGCCACACCAGCTTTGTCAAGCCCTAATCACCTGTCTCATTAGAACCTTTTATTTGGAAATAAGAGAGTATAGACAATAACTTATTTAGATTATACAAAGCTATTAATTTATGTCAACAATTTAATGACTATCAAGAAAAAGAAAGGGAAGAAGGAAAAAAATATATTTTGAAAAATTGCAAAAACTTTTTTAAAAAGTTAAATTATAATGAAAGTATTTATAAATTGTTTTGTTTTGTTTTGTTTTTGGACCAGGGATGGAATTCATGACCTCATGCTTGCCAGGCAGGCACTATACCACTGAGCTATATCCCTGGCTCCTATGTTTTTTACATCAATAAAAAATTTTTCAGTGCATT